CAAAAGATCAGGCTTTGAGAAAATGTAAAGACTTTCTCACTTTTTTAATTAAACAAGTTTTTATATTATGCAACAAGTAGAGTCTGTGCAGATTCGAATTCACTATGAAAGTATTTAAGTTTCGACAAAACATGCTTAGAAATTAAATTCGCAAGATGGATTCCTTTACTTTATTTTGCACCTTTACAATTATTTCGCTTGTCTTTTTCTTATGCTTTTTCAAAATGGATTTCTTCACTTTATTTTGTATTCTTACAATCAATTTGCTTATTTTTTACTTATATTTATTTATTGACTTATATTTTTATGTATGTAATACTTCAATTGTTCAGATACAACAATTCGAAGAAGATATTAATAATCAAGGTATATGAGTTAAGCAAAAGTTGCGTTTATTTATAAAACTTTTTCTCATACGAAATATTTTTAAGCAGACGAAGGAGAGTTGTCAGAATTGAAGATATATATCAATAATTATCTCCAACAAATTGCTAAAATGGAACAAGAAAACACACATCTTAAAGTACAATTGTACCAAGCCATTCAAGAAAATATACTACTTAAGAAAAATTTGGAAGGAGAAAGAAATATCAACCACTGTCTAAACCAACAGATTTTTGATTCAGTATATATTTACAAGAAAAAACTTCAAGATGAAAAAACTCGATTTCGATCAAATTATCAAATTCGTATTAATGAAAGCAATAAGCATTTTATACTGCATTATGAATACCTTCAAAATTCTGAATTGCGAGTTAAAGCAGAGATGAAAAAGAAAGACATTAGGATAAAAGCTATGCAAATTCTTTTGAATAATAAAAACTTGGAATGCGAAACTCAACAAAAAAAGATTACTAATTTAGAAACAAGTCTTAAAGAATTACAAAATCAGAAGATAATACTTAAATCTAAAATTAATTCCAAAACATCAAATAAGCATATGGCACGGTCAAATCAAATACAATAATATCTTATTAATGTATAATACAATCTTCTGTATCACTATATTTTGGTTGTAAATTTTATTTTACAAATACGTCCTTGCAACTTCTCAGACAATGTAAATATATTTTCTAACACTCTACTTGGTGTCGCATCGCATATGTCAACACCAAAAATTAACATTCCGAGACGATTCGCTGATGATCTTGATATAGTATATTCAATTATTATAAAATGATTATAAAAATATAATTTTTTTCTACCTTAAATCGTAAAAACCTTATTTACCCAAACAATTGAACATTTATTTCGTGATTAGGGCATTCATCGCTTAAAACTCTATTAATTTTAACACATTGTATACTTTTCAACAATTTTAAAACCTAATAATCGACCCACGGGTCTCTTGTATAGGTGTGGGTCTGATAACTGGTGGTTTAGACCTGTGTATAGTATATAGGGGATCTGATGCTTTGGGAGCTTGTATATGGCAGTTTACAGTAATTCTGAAAATATAGAAATACAAATTAGTAAGTCACGTGATAATGGTGAGATGTCTTTCTATTTACAATACATGCATAATTTATTATACAATGAAGGCTTTTAACCGAGGCGTATTACACTAGAAAATAATATATATGCCATCACATACGTGATTAATTTTAATTCTATTAATATAAATATAACATCAGATTGATTATGCATATTGATATATTTTTTTTATCCAATAATAAGATAAACCAGTATTATCAATGGACTTAAAAATTATACAATATATGTACGTACATATGTATTATACATAATAAATTCTAACGCTAAATGCACATGATGCTTAAAACTAGTGTGATACTGCATTAAAATAAATTATGAAATATATATTACATATCTTGCCTCAAATATACAGCAATACAACTGTAAAATATACTGTATATTTTGTTATATGATTTAGCAAGATAGAGTATTTGTAAAAAAAATACTCAATCTATATATTGATATCGTATTCATGTATTCATTTCTATAATAAAATATATACTCGGTAGGCATTTAACCAGTATATGAAGCCGCAAAGAAAAAAATCTGTAATTCTTATTAGATGAAAAATTCAGGTTTTTCACTCATATATATATATATATATATAATGTTTGAATTATATTCAAGAAGTCATGTACAGAAACGAGATTGTATTTAAATATAGCTTTTTCTACATCTAAGATTTTTCGATAAATAAATAAATATCAGATTTGTGATTTTGTCATTTTATAGTCAATATCTAAGCGTGAACTGAACGTGCTAATATTAAGATAATTGATTATATTTCAAATAATGCGTTGTGAGTATATACAAATAATTTCGTATAGTATTTATGAATATTGACCGATAATTATTTACTCTAGATCAAGAAGAAGGCTGGGGTCCCAAACCAACAAATCCTCCACTCCCATAGAACAAATCACCAGAAGAAAAAAAAGCCACTTGCAATTTGTGTTTTGCCGGTCTCTGCAAAGAAAATGATCATGTTGAATGGGGCATTAACTATTGGTCCTGGGATGACATTCATTCGGACGTATATTTGTGGTGTTCTTTCTGCTTTAAAAATAACCACAATACTGATGATTGCAAATTTAAAAAAGCAATAGAAATCGAAAAAGAAAAATTTAAATGTGATAAATGTTCCAGAAAATGTAAACCAATATATCACTTTAAGGGTGAAACGTGTCCTTACGAATGGAATAACAATTGGGCAAATAATTTTGAGGAAATTAATTTTTAATTGTAAAAATTTAATTAGCAAAATTATCATTTACATTGAAAATATTTTTTATAATAAAATTTATTCTATAAATACTTCCCTTATAAATAATATAACTGTCAGAATAAATGTTAGAATTCTAACTAGTAAAATACACAAGTAACTCTCGATATAAGAAACCTTCTATATAAGAAATTCTTGATATAAGAAAGATTCTATAGGCCTCAATTAAAAATTTTAAAATAAAAATCCTTTGATATAAGAAAATTTCGATATAAGAAAGGTTTTGACTGGACCTGGCAACTTTCTTATATCAAGAGTCACTTGTATAATCAGTAGGTATTGAAACGTATATTCAAAAAGTCACGTGTAGAAACAGATTTTATCATCTTCAATTTGCAAGATTTATTGATTTCGCATTTCATCTTTTGTTTTTATTTAACTCATTTTTTCAGTTAGTTATTATTTTTACTATATATATTTTTTTTCACGAGGCTTTAGTTAAAATCAATCGCGCGAGAATACATCACTAGTTTTACGTGACGTGATATTCTGTATCTGTGTATAGTATCATGTGATATTTTGCTATTAAGAATCGATTTCGAAATAGCTTAAAATATTAAATATTATTTTATAAATACTGTACAAGTACACGTTAAAGCCTTTGAAACCTGATTTTTAAAATAGAATAAAAAACCAGGTTGAAGAATGTAGTTTAAAGAATTCATATTTATTAAATCAGAATCAACTTGTAATAAAAGGCTGTGCTAACGCAAAAAACTTTATAAAAAGTTGCTTATTACTGTAGCGAAAAAAATGGCATAAAAGAACCTATAAATGCTTTTAATCCCTTTTAAGAGCTGCTTGACACGTTAAAATCTTATTGCGACAAATCAATTTCTGTATAATGCCTGCCATTCATCAGCCTTTCAGAACTTATGAAGTTCAAGCACAAATAAGGTAAATTTAAATTAATTGATAAATAAATACACTTACTGAGTACATATCTAATATTGTTTTGCCTAAATTATAGAGAAATTCGCCTTCTTGAACAACAAATACGTGCAATTGATGGCAATATTTATATCCTCCGAAGTCAATTCTACTATTATATTTTGTCACGAAGATGTTTCCGTTACCATTATTATTTTGTACTAAAACACAGGCGCCAAAGCAGTTTCATAGGTAAAATGTTGAGTTATGACCGATTTTTTGGTTTGTTTTGATTTTTTGCGTTTTTTCGTGTTACACTGGATCTTGAATTCTGATTGGCTAGCGAAATAGCAGCGAAATTTTTTAGGGTGGTGAAACAGGGGGAACTGTCACATCATTTGTAGATCTGTTACACAAGTCATAAAAAACTTTTTTATATTGTTTTAAAGTACTTTTTCAAAAAGCTCACGTTACTTACCCCACTTTGAAACGCGAAGTAGCGCTTTGTAAACTTGAGGGCTTCGTACAGTATTTTAATAATATCAGTTGAATCCTGGTGAATCCCACAGCTTTTATATGCCGTTTTACCTTGCAAAGGTGTATATGTAACTAAGTAATTTAAGAAATACCGAACTACAATTCCTAAACGTTGAGTAATAAAAACCAAAAAAAAGTAAAAGTGACGATCTAGTAAAAGTAACGTGGGTTTGAGAGTTAATTTATAATATCTTTTTCTTATATGTTTATAAAAAAAAACCTTTAAAAGCTTAAAAAACTTAAGTAATAATATAAATTAAATATCTTTTTTTTATTTTCATACAATTTTTAATACAGGATAAAGTGAAAGACAATATAAAAAGTATCTAAGATAAGATTGTATAAAACTTTAAACTTCTATAAGAATAACCGTTGTATGAATAGAGATTATATAAGATATCCGGGTTCGAGATTATATACATGAGTCTTTATAAATTATATATACGAAAGTCTTTATATAGATAATGATATTAGAAGTTAGTGCGTTATTAGTTAATAAATAAACAGAACAATGATATTCTTACTCATTTAGCGAAAAAATATATTGCATATATTTTAAAGTTAAATTTATATACTGTAGCTTCGATTTTATCTTGATTTTGCGTTATTTTTTGTATTTTTTTTATTCTTTTAAAACTTGTAATTTGATTGGCTAAACAACATATGACAATACATGAACATTGTGTAACATTAGACAGTTCCCCCTGTTGGGTGGTGATGCTAGGGGGTTTAAATTTCACACGCACTGGCACTATAAAAAACTCAGCTAGCATTATTGAACTACAGTAGATTCTGCATAAAGTTCACTAACCAAATCGATGTACTATACATATGATCCAACCAATCATATGAGCATATGGGCTGCCGTCAACAGAAATCAAGCAAATCTACATTTGAAAAAAAAATTAATACCTTAAATTTCACAGCTCATATCTCGATGAATTTTTAAAAGTATCTTGATGATTTAATATTCAAAAGAAAGCTTAGATCGTAAACTTTCTTTTGAATATTAAATCATCAAGATACTTTTAAAAATTCATCGAGATATGAGCTGTGAAATTTAAGGTATTAATTTTTTTCAAATGTAGATTTGCTTGACGGCAGCCCATATGATCACGTTTCTTACAAATTACATGAAAACTATGTTACTGAAAACTTACGCAAAATTTCACAAAATTTCACAAAATTACGTAATTTGACAACCCTAGATAGCATGATTTGGTAGAATTAATTCATAACTCTGGTAATCATAATTTTGGTAGAATTAATTCGCAACTTTGGTAATTATAATGTTGGTAGAATTACTTCATAACTCTGGTAAACATAATTTTGGTAGAATTAACGTTATTTCGATGGCATCAAGGCTGTCGGAGAATGAACTGTATTATTCATTTCATTTTCCGACGGCATCTTTATGCCGTCGGAGAACGAACCGAGTTTAAGATGTACTAACTTTTTTTTTATAAAAGAAAAGAAGTTACTATTTTCTTAAATTTGTTTTCTACTTCACTTGAATAAAATTTACTTTTAAAATTTTTATCTCATTTTAACTTTAAATTGTGAAATTATATAGATTAAAACTACTATCACATATCTTTAATAATTTGAATCTGAACAAAGATCAATAAAACTGATAATATAGGTATTTCATACCAATAATTTATTAAATTCATTACAACTAAATATAAATACTATTTACATTAACATGAACGAATTAATTCATTTGCAAGTAAATGTAAATGCTTTTATAAGTCCGATTACATTTTCATGAACGAATTAAACATTATTTGTATCAGATACCAAGTCAATCACATCTCATGAATTAATTCGTTTGCGAGTAAATGTAAATGCTTTTGCAAGTACGATTACATTTCCATGAATAAATTAATCCATTGCAATATGTGCTATCGTATCTGATACTAAGACAATTACTCTAATTCGTAGTCAGAATTTTCAGGTGTATCCCAATTATTCTCTGAATCTGGCAGCTCCTCAACATTTTCTTCTATGAATGAAGATAAAATATCTTCTATATGTTCTGATGAAGTGCTACTTGAATCGTACAGGGGATCTCTCGGGCTATTTGAGGGCGTAGGATTTGTAATTGCGCATCCATCTAACAATATTCTGGCGAATTCTGTATCTTGTATTATATCTGGATTGTTTCTCGCCTGTTGTTTTAAGTATTCATATAATTCTTCAACAAATTTAGAGATACTATTGACACGCCTCTATTTTCAAATAACAAATCAACAATAATAATTACACATAATTCATTTAGAACTCTTAAATATTGGTAAATATCTTCGACATCTTTCTTTTTATAAGGAATATTAAATTCACATAAAGGTCTTGCCCTATACACTTGATTACCAGGGTGGTCAATTGTCCAAATATACCATTTCACTCCTGTTCGAAGTATAAACTAAGATTATTAATTGTAATTTAAAAAGATAATAATAAAACTTCAATTGCACTAACCATGTATATGAGCATAATAAATTTCTAATTGATTATAAATGTTATAAATAACACT